TATGTGTCTTTTAAGCAGTAGATAATGTCCTACAAGCTCAAGGTGAACTAGGCCACTGGTTTTTAAAAGACACATAAAAAAAACCACTGTTGAAGAGACATTCAATGCAAGCCTGGAGACCTTTGAAGTTTTAGACACTCCCAGTCCACTTATATTTACCACTATTTTCTAGGCTGCAGACCTTTAAGACAGTACCTTCTCTTGCTCTTCATTTTTCAGTATGTCTCTTCTATTGAACTTTTCCATGCCTTTAAAACTACTCTGGTCTCTTACAGAATACATTTTCTTTAGGTACAAGAGAAAGTATTAGACTAATCACTACATTTTTGATGTGCTGCTTGTACAGCATGCCAGTTCAGAGAGTGACCACCAGTTTATGCAGTTGGTAAAAGAATCTTTACCAATCAAACTGCTCTCAGCAGATTGTAGTCAGGCTAAGGAAGGTTTCATTACACACAATTCTCTACTAGGGGTTGTTTCCTGACAGTCTAGGTGTCCCACATTTACATCCATAATCTTCATCAATACCATAAGATATATGGATACTGTGAGGAACTGCAACTAGAGTCCTAATAGCACCTCTACCACTAGATCAGGATGCCCATCCTTATGGAATAATTATTCATCTTCAAGCCCTGAAACATTTAGGGAACGCTTTGAAAATATGACTGTTAAAATTAGGGGAAGGGTAAAGACTGCTTAATTGACTTTTTTTCTCCTAACTGCAGTTGACACGGTGAACCAGACTGTGCAGCAAGCAGCGGAACAGGCAAAGAGTGCTGGTCAGAAAGGTACGGTTGGTGTTTATTTCAAAATGTCACAACAGTGAAATCCCAGATAGGGCCCCCAACCCTGCCTTGGTCATTGTCCCACACCTGGTGGGAAAGGTGTTGCAATGATGCTACAGTTACCTTTGTTTTTTCTCTTTTAAAAGCACTTGATGAAGTCTACAAAGTTGCTGAAACTGGTGAAAAAGCTGTAAAAAATGTAGCAAACCAAGCAACTTCATGGGGCAAAAGCTTTGGACAATAAAGATCAAAATGTATCACCACTGAAATTTTTGTAAACAAGTTTCTACTACATAAATTCTTAAATAAAGACATTACTTAACTCTGTCTGGCTTGCATGTATTTCTTTGGTTACACATATAAAAACACATCTACAATCACTCGTCTAGAAAGACTGGATTACTGCACAGAGCAGGCAGCTAGAGCTGTGCCAAGCTACTAATGCAAAGATGTTTTTTGGCTTGGGTTTGGTTTTTTTGGTGGGGTAAGGGCTGGCTTAAAGTGGGCAGAATGTAAAGTCAAGCACTTCAGAGCTGGTCTCCCATTCTGTCACTGAGCCTAAATTCTAATTTTGTGGTGTGGGTGTGTGTGTGTGTGTGTGTGTGTGTGTGTGTGTGTGCGTGTGTGCAAGTCTCACAAGCCGAGCACCCAACAGCCCTCTCCAGACAAGGTAAGAACCTCCACCTCTCTTTGTTCTTCTGATCTTACTGGCAAAATCTCATTTAGCTCCTGTGTTGAGGAAGGCTCAAGTATGTTTAAGGTATATGTGACTGCTGTAGAGCAGCACTGTGACACTCAGAGCCTGTGCCAGCAGCAGGAGGTTGCACTGCTGCCAGCAGAGCACAGCACAGGCATGACAAGGCAAGGCAGCCACCCTGTGCCACAGAGGAGGCACTGACCACGTCTGCAGGGCTCCTGTTAAACCCACAAAGGGACAGCAGCTGAAAGAATCAGAACCAGGTAATTTTGAGTAGCTCATGAACAACCAGAAAAATCCTCAAAAGCCAGGAACCCTCTGTGCATATGAACTTAAAATGAAATCTTAAGAGTCTGATACTACAGACTTCTCAATTAGTAACAATAGTTTAGAAGTTACTTACCCAGCATCTTGAAATCACAGCAAGAATTTCCATTGCTTTGACACTTCTTCATGATGGTGACAGTTGCCATCAATGAAAAACAGGTGTAGTACTGAGTTCTTTGCTGGGATAAAAAAATCATCATTCTGCTTGCTCTTCTGTATAATAGAAACATTTTGCATTTAGTAGTTTGCAGCTGGTATATGACCCTGAGCACTGTGGTTGTCATCCTTATGTGATTCACTTGCAGCTTTAGAGTACTTGCTGAGCTGCCTTTCAAAACAAACTATGGACCTAAGCAGTATTAGTGCTGAATGAGAGGTTGCAAACACCTGGCAAGGATGTGCTTTGCTCTAGGTGTGGTTCAGAGCAGTCACAAATC